AAACGACAATCCGCATCGTCTACCGGCATCCTCCTTCTTGAAAAACACCGTAGCACTCGCTCGAAACAACAACCATGGGAAACTCAGCATCAGGGCTCGAAGAGCTGGTCGCCACCACAAATTGTAAGTCAAAATGAGAATCGCCTACCCACCGAATGGAGTTGTAATAGGTGCCCTTCCTTTAGTCTCGGCAGAGGAGATTCAAAGACTTTACAAGCGCTTCGTGAAGCTCGACAAAGGCGGCTCGGGTCTGCTCACGAAGGAGGAGTTCCTGTCGCTTCCCCAGATCGCATCCAACCCGCTCGGACAGCGACTCTTGGCCGTCTTCGACGCGGACGGCACGGGTCAGGTCGACTTCAAGAAATTCATCCAAGGCCTCAGTGCCTTCTCGACGAAGGGAAATAGGGAGGACAAGCTGAAGTGTGAGTGCGACCACTCTACCCCCCCCCCTCCCTCTCGAGGTTGGTCGCCTGATTCTAACTCGCGCGCATTCCAGTCGCTTTCAAGGTCTACGACATGGACCGAGACGGATACATCTCGAACGGAGAGCTGTTCCTCGTGTTGAAGATGATGGTGGGAAACAACCTGAAGGACAATCAGCTGCAGCAGATTGTCGACAAGACGATCATGGAGGCGGATCTGAACGTTGACGGCAAGGTGTCGTTCGAAGAGTTCCAGAAGATGGTGGAGGGAACCGACGTTGCGCATCAGATGACCCTTGAGGACGATCGTATATGATCTCCCTCACGACCATGTCACGACATCATCCCTCGCCCACTTCATCAACTCACTAGACAGAGAGACCGGGAGCCGGTGGCTCCCTACATCTCGCAAACTCACTCCCCCCATGCTCGTCCGGCCACGCTGCACCGCTCGACGCACATCTCTTTATATCCCTCCCGACCGGCGGTCAGACCTTTCCAAACTCCTGCCACCCTTGTCAAAGACCCCGTCGTACTGTCACACAGAGAGGGGGAAGAGGACGACCTTGTAAATACGATTCGTTCACTTGTTCATAAACGTTCAAAGCGATTCCTTCCGCGCCACAAAGATCTGTCTATTATCCCACATTGGCACAAGCTTCTAGGTCTCCGCCAGCGTCGCTGCATAGAGGTTCTCGGTGGAAAAGCTATATGGGACTCCGTCAGGCACGCCCAACCTCATTTCCTGGTGGATCATGGCCTCCTGCGATGGTTCCGGAACCACGACAGGCATAGGGTCCTGCGACCCGGTGAACTTGAACCTCTTGGCCTTCTCCATCTCCCTGATCCGCAGGGATACTCCCCTCAACACCTCCCACTGCTCCTGCACCATGGCGTAAGGCGACCACGAGCTCTCCATCTGATCAAGCTCTCCCTTGCGGGCTTGCGTTCCGATGTTGTCAAAGTTTCGCACCATGGGAGTGTAGTGAACGTAGTTGTACACCAGGGCGGCGTGCTTGATGAGGATGTTGAGGACAGGAGTATAGAGCAGTGGGTACAGGACCCGAACCTCGACCGGTATCTCCGTCTTTGGCGTTCGATCGATGACGAGAAGGTTGAGAAGGTCGAAGGCGATGAGCTGCAGGGCGAGCGAGGTGAAGGAGAGGATGCCGATGACGATCCAAGAGTTCATGTTGACGAAGATGTACACGACCATGGCGATTTGGAGAAAGTCGTTCAGGATGCCGATGGCAGAGTCCATGGCGCAGATCTTTGCGAACCAAGTGTTCCAGTGCGTGACCTTCTGGGAATGGATGCACACCCGTCCGAACTTGCCAAAGAATCGGTGTCGTGCCACCTCCCAACTCCTGGAAAACAATGCAAAGCAAATGGAGTGCGTTGATAGATGAGTTCTCTTTGCGTCCGTGGCTCACAACTCTGTAGAACCCCTACCTTGCGCGCTGATAGAACAGACTGGGTTCTCCGCAAGAGCAACTGGAAAAGTGCTTCCAGTATACTTTAGGCAGCAGATCCTTCCAGTGAAACCAATGGAAAGGGACCATGGTCGGAATGATGAAGGGGGCCACTCTGATGGCGTAATTCCCAGTATGGACCTCTTCGGGATTGAGGAACTTGATCTCGTTGTACAGGGTATGCATCAAGAGCCCCATCTGCAAGTCATCTCCGCGGAACATTGTATCATGTCTACGAAGAAAAATCATGCTCAGGATATGACTTTGAGTTCGAGACGGATGAACAGCCTACTACTCACCGACTAAGAACGTCGAGAAGCGTGGTCGCCCGCCACGTCGAAACAGCTCCACTGGGAAAAAGAGCAGAAGTAATACTTGCTTGAGCAATTTTGGTGAACATCGATATTCGGTCTATATGAAAGATAAGAGAAGGTTGGTCTGTGAAGAAGTATGCTGATCGATATGCAAAAGACCACTTACATTCGAAGTCCTGGAAATGTCCCAGAAGCCCCATCGTTGAACTCTTCTCCGCGCCGAGTGGATAAGCGAGGCAGTGGCAATCAGAGCTGTCATCGAACATGCCAAGGGTGTATTGTTCGCTCCAGTCGTCTAAAGATGAGGAGTTTAGCACAATCATATAATGAAGCTGGTCGGAAGACCCACCTTACCAGGGAATACAGTATCGTCATCAAGCAGGGACACGAACTCGATGTCGGAACGCAGGTAAGCCAAGCTATTCAGGACGGAAAATTGAGCGATGGTCTTGGATCCTTGCCGGAGATTTCCAACGTTCACGCCCAGACCCATGTAATTGGGGTGACGGAGCCGATACTCTGCAGACAAAGACGCGGCAACCTCAGCGGTCTTCTTGACCTCGGCCTCCGAAGAGCCATTGTCGGCAAGGAAGATGGCCCGAGGTTCTACCAAAAGCAACAATCGCCCAAGCGTCTGTACCAATACTTCCGAGCTGTTGTGACAAGCGATGATGATGGCGTGTCTTAGATCTTTGAAAGGCAAGGAATGATACGTCTCCTGAACCCCCCAGCTTGTCAAACTTCCGAGACTGGTGGTTCTCCGGATGGTAGGCTGCGGGATGCCCTTCTGCTTTGCCTGTTCCGCGGCTCGACGGAGGTGTTCGGCCCGTTGCTTTCTCTCCATAGCTTTGCCGTCGGTTTCGCTTGCTGAGAGATCGGTACCTAGCAGCTCTGGTGTCGAGATGCTGCGACTGAGGCGGTTGGCTTCGATCACTCGTTTGATCCGAGGCACATAGTCGGCCAGTTGGAGCTGCTCAGCGGAAGGCTCTTCAAAATGGATGCCCCATGATGCTCCACTCCTGATTTCAAGTGAACAGTAAGGTACTAGGCGCGCGTTCTAACGTCTGACAAAGCGATCACTTACCTGCGCACGTCTCTCTTCTGCACCGGTTTCGCAGGTTCCGCTAGCTTTTCGTCAGAAGCTCCGATGTCCCGTGTAATCGAGTTTCGGCGGCTTACAGGCAGATGAGAAAGTGGATCGATCACGCTGTTTGACTTAAGATTCAGATAGTCATTGATGATATCGCCCTCAGCTGCATTTGTTGAGATGTGCCGATCGGCAGTAGATTCGGATCTGTCCAAAGTTGCCTGCGACACTCTTGACATCAGTCTCGTTCTTGCTGATTGTCTTCTCACAGCAGCAACTTACCTCCGTCAGGGGTGCGGTCTTCTGGCGCGGGGCGATTGCTATCTCTTGAGACTCCCTGTTTGCTTTTGGATTTTGTAGGTTTTTGTTTTTGTCCACCTTCATCGTCAGATAGCCACTCGCCGAGCTCACGATAGAAACGGGGGAAGCGGGTTGAGCGGCGTAGATCTCGTCCGACTGCTTTGAAGCGGCGCCAATACGATCAAGCGTCGATAGCTGCGCTGACTTTAGTGTGTCGATACTATCGTCTCGCCTCAGTTCTACGTCCACTGCAAACAAACGGCGAAGTCAGATTCGGGCAATACGGATCGTCAGCTAGGCAGAAAGCAGCTCTTTCCGTACCTTTCATGGACGCCCGTCTGACTAAACTTCTGTGTCGATCCAGCGTCGCTGTCAATGTGTCGTCAAGCGCCACGCCATGCTCATTGTACGCGGATTTCCGACGGGGCAAGCTCTCCGTTACCGGTGCCGCTTTCAAGGTCGGCCATCGAACAAACATGGCAAGTCCCGCCATGATCAGAATCTCCCGATTCACGGCCACGAACATCACGATGGCCGATATGATCTCGACTTGCGAAAAGTCTTGGACGATGTGATTCTCGTAAAAGGAACGAATGAGGTCCCACCACGACATCTTCAGCTTTACGCTGTCGACCCTGAAGGAACCGATGTCGGCGAACAAGATCATGTACGGGAGGATGCCCATGGCGACCGTAAAGAAGGCGAGAAAGAGCCACGCAACGTCCGCCGTCCTTCCGTACATTCGCAAGGGAAGCACGTGCTCGATAGTTTCCGCCGGAGTAGCCTGGGGACCACCCGGAGACATCATCGCTCTGTCCGCTTCTTTGTTCCGCGCATTCCTTTGGGTGAAGTAGGCTCGCGTTTGATGGATCATGCCGAAAACGAGGGCATAGACAAAGTGGGCCCACAAGACGAGGTACGAGGTGACGCACAGCGTCATGAATACATCTTTAGCCATCGTGCGGTCGACTGAAGGCTGCTCGTAGTTGGATCAGTTCCCGTCCTGGTCCTGACGCACAGGCGAAGGCACGACAGCGAGGATGAAGATCGCGACCGAAAAGCATTGCCATCGTGGCGGGATGTCTATAATTAGAAGTTCGGACCAGATGCAAGAGTGCCACTTCTTCTCAAACCCAAGAATAATAAGTAGATAACTTCCATTTGCCGCACTTCGCAACCAACCATTCAGCTTCACATTTGGACAGCCCCGCTTATGCAAGACGGACGAGCTCACCAGTACCTGTCTCAAGAGGACTCTTCCAAAACGGAAATGCGAGAGGATCCTGGGACAGATTCTGCCTGGCAAAAGCTGACTCCATAGACTTTCGTACCGGTATTGCTTCCCAATTGATTCCATTGGGTCAACGAAAAGGTATCATAAAGCGATAGCCAACCTTCAGAGTTGTGGAGAATGGGAGTATCGATCTCCCTGCCTCCCGCATGCTAAGCGGGCGCTCTGCCATTTGAGCTAATCCCCCGAAAGTCCGTTCGGCTGCGAGCAAGCTTTGAACTGATGCTGTCGGATGGCGGCAATTTCGCAAGTCGAATTTGTCGAATAGCACCATCCGATGAAATTTCCAGCCATTAAAAACGCAGCAATATTGAACGAAACAGGTCGAAACAACGTCTCTACCAGTTGACTCTAGAGACATCAATAATAGGTGCTTCTTATGGGGTAAAAGATGTAGGTTTTGAAGTCCTTAGTGTGCAGGTAGAACTTTTTTCCTCCCCCGAACACGCAGTCCAGTCGGCACGTGGTCTTGCCTTTGCGATTGGCGTTGTCTCGGCCATGGCTCTCAAGGTATCCGTCTTGACGACATTTCCTTGTCCGGTGCGATGCGTTCCGCTTCTCACTTCTAGGCTCCGGCTTTCTGATCAGTGGTCTCAGTACCCAGCAGGGAATTGTTCGGTTTTGCTGCTGACCTCCGGTAAACTTTGGATGCATCGGTCGCTATCGAAATGGCCCTCGGAAACATCGTGCTTACAGCTATTCTTCACCGAGCATTCCCTTCTCGAAGCTGCATCAAAGTCTAGAAGATATCAAGGACGAATCTGGCTCGCAAGTCAGGGTTCGCTACTCTCCCTGATTGAAAACCCAAGAATCAAAACCCACTCCCACCATGCGAACAGTAACCATCCTGCTGACGCAATTTCGCATCTCGGCCCCGCAACCACGAGCCCCAAACAACTAATGAGCAACTGGCATCCCGGGTAGTTGACTTAGTTCCATGGACTCTCAGGCACATATTGGACAACCCTAACATGTGTTTACCCCCCAGGTAGTTGACTTCTGAGCTTCATGACGTAGTAGCGCTAAATCGAGGAATTCGACGGTGTCTCGTTGAGAAGTTCTATTTTCGGAAGCCTATCGCGATCATACTTTTTCTAATATATCGCACTGCAACAACGAGAAGTCCCTCACCACCTTGACAAAATGGTCGAGCCGTATTCACCTTCTAGAAATCTTACCACTGCTTGTGTAGTGGGTGCCATCGCAGGCGGCTTTTCGTCGTCAGAGGAGGATGCTATCGAATTTTGCACGGATCAGCTGGGCGCATATGCGCTGGGCTGGGCGGTTAACGTGGCCAAAGCGTATGGGGGTAGGAGAACTGATGGCCTTGTCCCCTTGATCTCGCATTTACTTGTGCTCAAGGCTCATCGAACTGTTCTAGGTCCTGGTATCATCCTTGGCGCTTCTATACCATGGGCCGGTTTGAGCCTTATAGCAAGCTTAATGCGCATCTGGAATATTCGAAATCCAAGATCCGTTTTCCTCCTGATTGCTACATCGGGTAACCTTGTCTTCATCGGCTCGATAGCACTGGCGCTAAGTAGTGCCACAAGTGACTTTCATATGGCGGGTGAGCTTCTTGGTTGCCAGCGGCGCCTTTGTGGCTTACAAGTCACAAACTTATGCGCTGCCAATGCAAAGACATTATCGGACTCATGGGAATACTGGTGCAACTGGCAAGTTTTCAGATCGAACGTCCGAAACGGGCGGTTCGATCGCACGCTGACCTTTGAAGCTCGTCTTAGATCTTCTGCGCCATGGCGGGGACGACTCGGTTCTCACACGTCCTGCCGCTGAAGAAGCATCGTATCCTGTTTCAACGAGGACTGTGTTCTTTCCTCTTCTTATATGGGATCATGGTCGGCGTGCTGGGTCTCCGGGAAATCGCCAACGCCCCCAGCCACCCTGCCGTGTTCGGCAAACTGTTCGTGGTCTTGTTCTTCATCCCTACTGTCATATACTTCCTTGGAGGGCTCTTTTGTTTCTCCTGGAATTTGCCTTCGTATCAGACATCGACAAACACCGCAAGTTCCGGCAAGCTCAAGACTCTCCGTCTTGTCAATGATTGTCAGATGGGGCTCGTCATCTTGCTCTGTCTTAGTGAATTGGGCGCCGTCATTCCCCTCCGCAGTAAGTTGGCATTCCTTGGCACAAAAAGTACCTTTTACTCACACCTGTTTTTAATAGCGTCAATATTCAATAATCCCGTCGTGTGCCTCCACGGTAGCATGATTCTTTTTGTTGAGAATGTTTTCGAATCGGCCTCCAACATCATGCGAGGGTTAAGCGGATCAAGTGGCTTTTCGACTGCTGCTCCAACAAACGGAAGCCGCGGGGTCCTCACGTGTTCCGGACAGCTAATGCGGAGCGCCGCGACTCGGAAGGTGGATTCTGTGGCCAGAACGGAGGAACTGCCTGTTACGCTTGAAACTTCGTCGTATACAAGAGAAGATGACTCTTCCGCTTGACAGCTGTCTTTCACGCAATATCCAACCCGAAAAGGCTGGGCTGCCAATCGCTTGCCAAGTAGCTAAGCGCATTAGAGCTCTCTGAGGAGTATAATAGAATGCTGAAAGGAATGATCATGAACGGTTGGAGTTAATGCAGACCTCCTCCTGCTAAGCTTGTCTTTTAGACAGCTAGGGCCGTTCACAAAACCAAGATCAAGCGCAGCTTGTTGCTGCAAGCGCAAGCAGCAGCTGGCATAAAGAGTCGAGATCGCAGTCAAAAAGACTGGGTATGAAAGGGTGGCAAGAAGGCGAGCGATCGCTCTGACTCACCTGTTTGTCTTAGGTAAAGGGGATCGTAGCCGTCCCGTGCCGCGCGCAGTTTTTAATGTGCATGCGCCTGTCCTCCTAATAGCCTATCCACGCACGCGCGCGCTGCATTACACTACACCCAAAAGGATTATACCACACGGTCCAGGAACAACAAATACTACAGTCACCTAATCGAGGTTCTTTACCAAACAACAACAGCAAGGTCGCATCGGTCAAAAGTAGTTTCCTCTAGCAGCACATATCGCCTTCTGAGTCTTTTCAACTTCTTCTTATACTTCTCGAACACCTCAAGCGCGTAGGATCTACTTCGGAATATCAATGGCCTCAGCATCCCGGGGACCGTCGACCGCGGCTGGTGGATCTGCAGCGGATTGCGTGCCAGGAATCGAGGGCCGAACTGCTTCCGTCCCCATCAATTCTCGCCAGCCCAGCGCAAAGGATGTCGGACCGGAAGATGAAAGCTCTCGATGGAAGCAGACGCTGGAAAGCGTCATTGATTCCGTGGTCTCTATTCGCTTCATCGTTACCCGAAACTTTGATACCTGGCAGGTCGGCTCGTACACCGCCACCGGGTTCATCGTTGACGCCGAGAACGGGATCATCTTGACGAACAAGCACGTTGTGACCGACGCTCCGTTCGTAGGAAAAGTGAGCTTCAGGAACTCGGAAGAAGTCGCTGCATGGCCTGCCTGGCGCGATCCTGTTCACGACTTTGGTTTCCTGCGATTCGACAAATCGCAGGTCAAATTCATGAAGCTGTCGGCTATCGACCTTGAGCCCGACTCTGCGCGCGTCGGCCTGTCGGTTCGAGTGCCTGGATCGGACGCCGGTGAAAAGCTTGCCGTACTTTCCGGCATCATTGCTCGTATAGATCGTCCAGCCGCGAACTACGGAACGGGAACGTACTGCGACTTCAACACGTTCTACATTCAAGCTTCGGCCAACACGTCAGGCGGTTCCAGCGGCTCTCCGGTGGTCAACATTGACGGCAAAGCGGTCGCCCTCAACGCGGGAGGTTCCACTCATGCAGCCTCTAGCTTCTTCCTACCGCTTCACCGTGTGGCCCGAGCTCTAAAGCTCCTTCAGGCGGGCAGACCCATCTCCCGCGGAACCCTGCAAGTCGAGTTCGTGCAGAAGCAGTACGATGAGGCGCGAAGACTGGGTCTCCCTGTAGAATTTGAGACGAAGTTTCGCGAGAAGTCCCCTGACCTCGGTGGTCTTTTGGCTGTCAAGAACACGATCCCCGGGGGTCCTGCCGAAGGGATTCTTTACACAGGAGATCTACTCATCAAAATCGGCGATAAAATGGTCAACCACTTTGTCGAGTTGGCTGAAGTGCTTGATGATGCCTCTGCCAAGTGGGACGAGCATGATCAACCTCTCACGGAGGAAGAGAGGCCTCGGATCTTGCTCACTGTGTTCCGCAACAAGCAGTTCATCGAGGTTGAGGTGAAAGTCGATTCCCTTCACAAGATCACGCCAGATCGTTATGTGGAAGTTGGAGGCTCCATTGTTCATCCGCTCAGCTACCAGCTCGCTCGCTCATACCATCACCCCGTTGGCGGAGTCTTTGTCGCCGATGCTGGGCACATGTTAGGGGTCGCTGGTGTGGCAGCGTACAGCATCGTCACGGCTGTTGCGCATCAAAAGGTGCCCACCATTGACGACTTTATCCGGGTGATGAAGGAGCTCCCTGCCGGCAAGCGTGTTCCGGTACGCTATTACTCGCTGGCGAAGAAAAACGTGGACATTGTTAAGATCGCAGTGGTTGAGAACAAGTGGGGACGATTCCGGATGGCGGTTCGCGATGGTAGGTTGCGTCGTTACCTGCTGGTATCCAATTAGTTCTAACTGGACTGTCGGGTTCTAGATCCTGCCGGACTCTGGGCCTACTCCGATATTGCTACCACGGGGGCACCGCTCCGTCCGGCAGCCAGAACGGCGTCCTACGTCCATATTAATCCTACCAAGAACAAACATAGCCGGATAGCCAACACAGTGATGCCGTCCCTTTGCGTCGTTGAAAGTCATTCGCCTTTTGGAATTGACGGTCACAACTCCAAATGGTCGGACGGAGTCGGTGTTATCGTCGACCATCAGATCGGACTTGTCATGGTCGATCGATCCACTGTACCTACCTCACTGGGTCGCCTTTTTGTGACATTTGCGAACAACATCGTGGCACCAGCCAAGATCATCTGGATGCATCCCATGCACAACATTGTTTTCGTCAGATATGACAAGACATTCTTGTCAGCGCAGGCTGGTGAACGTCGCCCAAGTCTACCACAACCTCCTCTTCCTGTAAAAACCATTGGATTTTCGCCGCTACCCTCGATGACCTCAGGCGATGAGGTGCACCTTGTGACTATCAATGTTATCACGGTGAGAGGCATCCTCTCGTCAA